TTGGAATCTTTTATTTTTGAATATATCACCATTTTCAATTATTTACATATATCGCAAACTTTGTATATTTTTGATATTAACGGGAGATTTATCGGCATAGTATACTTTGCAACGGCATCCTCATTTAAAATTGTTATCTTGATGATTTTGCAAGATTTTTGATTCGATTTATAAGGGCAAGTTACGATTAATATTAATCATGCATTACTAACAACTGTGGTCGAAATAAAAATATATAGTCTAATATAAATTACTTCAACTTAGTCAACTATAGGTAGTGGAATTAAAGGCTGGTGGGATGTAGGTTAGGGATCTGCATACCCGACACGTGTCTCGTGCTCAACAAAATTTCTATGGCACAGGTGGGAAACGGTTATGGGCACAAAGTGTCAGGCATAAAAATATCGGCACTTATGTGCCCACAGGCACGGAGTAACTTAAAACAAAAGACTTACATCTTTGTGAGCACGACACAAAGATGCCGGCCTAAAATTGACCGGTGCTTTTTGCTCATAGGCACTGACACGGCACAAGGCACTGTGCCTGGCATAGTGCTCCACGGGCATTTGCAGAACCCTAATGTAGGTATAGTTTTTTTAAACTTAAAGATCATCCGAATTGTGATTAAAATTTGCAACCGTATTTTTGAGTTAAATTAATTTCCAAAATCCGAAATATTTCAACAATAAGAAATAATTTCGGTTTAGCCCGCAATATATATAGTAATTTTACACTTTTTGAAAATATTTCATTAGCGCGAAATAATTTCGCCCGAGGGCGAAATATTTCGGATTCGCTCGAAACACTAGAGTCACTCAATAAAGATTTCAATCAGAAATACACATAGAAGGCAATCACTTTTTCATTCTACTACTACTCAAAGTTCTAAATATTGACAGCCAGAATAAAATAATGAAATTTGGGCTGTTAGTGGTTGTTAGTGATGGATATATTGACAAATCACACCAAATGGATTTGAGTTCTATTTTCAAAAGATAATCAGTTACGTAAAGCCATTTCATGCACCATGAATTTGAATGAGATTGATATAATTGCAAATTTATGAAAAGTTTATGAAAATAATTTGTAACTTTGATAATATTGTCGGTTTTGTTTTCCTATCCCCCACTTTCTAATTCGAAAAAATATAACAACTACGAAGCAATAAATCTAGAAATAATGATTTACGTATTATTTAAAGAACCAAAATGTAAATAATTGCAAATAGCCTAGCTCTGAAAGAATCTCAATTCTTACTAGGACCTAAGAGATTTTCTAACTATTTGAAATACTTCATATTCACTTGCAAAAAATACGTAATTACCCGGACTTATGTGATTTTCATAATTTCCTCGCAAACATCGAGCTTCCCAATGTTCATCACCATTACCTATTAAAGCTAAATCCGAACCAAAACACGGACCATAATCTACGCATTGAAAAATGGCTTGTTTCGTTTCTCTTACTTTACTGTATATTATATTGTTAATTTGTTCATTTCCGAGTGAAAAAATAAAGCTCTTTTTTGTCTTGTTAAAAACTCCATCCGTATGAGCTTCCCAATTCAAAGGGTTAAAGCCTCCAAGAAGTTCACCTAATTTTAGATTATTACAATATTAGTATAAAAGGCCAATTGAAAAAGGGTTATAACGTCAAAAGAATTTACCAGAGTGATGAACTTTTAATATTGTAACGCTTGGGCCCTTCAAATCACATTTTTCATGAAAAATTTTTGGACCAAATCCATCACGACTTCCACGGACAAGTAAATTGAATTCAAAAGGAATAGTGTGAGGTTGAATATTATTATCATTAACTATCCAGCCACAAATTAAAGCAGCCTGTTTCATTGTAATCAACTTTGAATTAATGTCTCTACAGGTTTGAAATAAAGTTGCAGTGGCAGTATTTAATTGAGAAAGGTGATATTCCCAAAGTTGTGCATAAGTGTCATTGCCAAATGATTGTTTATAAGGACGAACTTTTTTATCAAACTCACTAGGACTAATTAGAGCAAAGTTGATATGTGGAATAAAAGGAGAAACAATATTTCCGAATGTGTTAAAATCATCAAAAGTCCATAGATCAATATCCTTTGTAAGTGAAATGTTTTGGGCTATTGACCATTCAACCAACTTTTCCCACAACTCTATTTCTCGCATGATAAGGAATTTCTTTTTAAGAATTGAAATTAATGTATTTTGATCTATGTTAATGAAATCTTCAGCTTCAAAAACTATAGATGGATCTTGTTCCATTGTATTGATACAAAATGCTAGTAACTTTTTAAATTGGCCATGTTGTGTGGCAAAATGGTATACTAACGCAAAATGATTAAGCAAATCTTCAGGATTATTAAGAATATGATCTTCTATGTAATCAAATAATTCTGTCAAACATAATTCTTCAGCAGCTGTAAGAACGTCAATATTAAATTCTACATCTTTTTCTGGTAGATCAATTGAAGCGCCATATATATACCTATAAAAATCATTATCATTATTTAAAACTTTTTGAAAATAAAATAAAAAATTTCAAGGATCGAGATATTATAAATAGTAATACTTTAATATTATTTCAAATACACTTGGAGATACATTGGGTTTGTTAAATATCAGTATATTGCCATCAGATCTAGCCCAATTACTTGATAAGGCCGCTCGAAAATACGTTGATCGAGCACGTAACACTAAAGAATGTACCTTAAATTCTCTAGTATCAAGTTCTTGGCCAGCGTGAATGATCATATCAAAATGGTCACCAGACTCTAAAAGAGCAGTGTAATGGCGAGACAAGATATTTAAAAAAAATGTCGACGACATTATAGGTATAACGTTCAGGAAAAGCAAAGAGAAAATTTTTGGTGAGGCTGTAACATGATATACAATTTATGTAATTTATATGAATAATAATTGGTGCTGATTGAGACCACGTGTTCAATAATATCATCTGCAGCACAAATTTGCATACATGAGATAACTATGTAGTATGTAGTTATCCGTTACCGTTACGCACAAAATTCAAAAAAGAAATGTTGATGCAGTGATATCTGATTACTTGACTTTGAAGAAAAATTATCGAAAATAAAATAAATTTTCTTAAAATTAGCATGAAAGATCTTATTGTTCAGAATAAATAATATGTATATATTGAATAGCGTGATACGTAGTACAGATACGTAAAAACATGTACGTATTAACGTTAATATGCAAAAAGAACTATGCGATCCCCAAAGTTCCTAGTCGGATTACCGGTCGGTTAGGCCGGCATTAACAAATTTGTATTTATAATAAAAATCATCATGCATTTACTTAACTGTTAACGAATGAATTTTTGGAATCTCCTTTTATTTGAATTGTATAAAAAAGGAAAATCAGATATTTATATGAATACAGTATATATATGCCATAAGCAGTTACTGTCATGGGACCGATTTTGCTGGGACACTAAATGCCCCCGAGGCATTGCCTCGGAAATGTCTAGATTACAAAAACAATCTGGTCATAAATTCGGTGAAAATGTATAAAAGTTTACCCGATAGTCACTCGATAAGTTTTCGAGAATGATGATTTCAACACGATACTTTTATATAGATAATATATTATTGCAAAGGATAGATGTTATATATTCTTGTAGATTCTCTTAGTATATATGATTAGTAATAGTTATATCCTGGGCAGTTGGGTGTAAGCGGGGCTGAAAGTCCCGTTTATACACATAGTGCCCAGGGTATAACTGATTTATATGCCCTGCGATCTTGAAATAGTGACCAGGGTATAAAAAAGTATAAGAGCTCCACAAGGAAGCAATCTCGCGACCTTGACAAATATATATATTTTAGCAACAAAATGAATTTATTTGTCATAGAACAAAAATATTTAAAAAAAGAAATTATATCCAGAATATGACGTTATTTATTATCTGTTAAAGAACATTAAAGAATTGTTGCATCGTCCATTGTTTTTTTCATTATTATGTGAATAAGATATGTTTAACATTATACACCCTTTATTAGAGTAACTGGACCTGTATATCGAGATTATACATTTTTTACAGGAGGATCCCCAAATTTCCGGAAATTTGGGATCGACAATACTATGTTTAATTATTTAGTTTGTGCAGAAATTTATGGTAAAGACCGTTCCTATTAATTTGTAAATCTCACACGAAATGTAAAAAAAAAGTTTTGAAAATTTAGACTTCAATAATGAACATGTCCTTTTAAAAGTGATCTTCAACATTAAATTGTTCAAGAATTCAACCTCTGGATAATACCTAATTTGAGTATGTTTTGAAACATCGCATCTGACTAGAATAATAATTGTATAAACTAAGACTTATCGAACTCGGCTGGATAATTATTTTATTAGTTGACGAGAATAGCCGTAAAAAAACGTAACAGGTAATTGATACATCGTATTCCTTAGCCTATATAATTAATATAAATAAGAATATTGTATATTTTAACTCATAACTGCGCGTTATCGAACTTGGTTTGGTTTTACATCATACGTGATCTTAAGGCGCGTCATTTAACGCTATAATTTGTATATTATTATTAAGTAACTTGAACGTAGGATTGAATCACCTAATAAATCACGATTCAATTATTGGCAATTTGACGGACTGAACTTGATCAATTGAACGTGAATCAGAACTTATTAGATTTTATTGTTCGTAAATAAAAATAAATGTTCATCCGCTGATATAATAACATCAACTTACGAGCTTGATAAAATCAATTTATCGCGTATGAAGAAATTGTGCATTGTTCGCACATAAATTTATTAACATCAAATGACTCTATTATCTAATGCATCTATATTATTATTTATATCCTGTTAAATTTCGCATTATATTCATATTTAAATCAAGTTGATTTTTAAATATAATTTGTTAAATTTCGGTTAAAGGATTAATAATAAACGATAAAGAATTTCTTTATGATAAGTCAGCATTAAAGTATAATTGTGATCAAACGTTTTAATGAGTGAAGTACCTTATTTGGCTTTCTCATATTGAATAAATATATCTTTTGAACTATCCAATACCATTGATTTTCGATCTAATAATTCATGTATGATATTTCTTTTGAATTGATTAAAAATCTTTTCAAAGTCCATTATTGTTATTGTAGATTGGTCATATGACATCCAGAACTCATCAAAGGAGTGAAATAGATAACCTGATAAGAATTTTGATTTTAATCGTTTATAGACAAATATTTAATACAGTAAAATAAGCGAATAATAATGCTATTAAGTAAATAAATTGAATTTAGCACTTACAGAAAAATTCATGATAAATATCCTTGGTAGAACCATACTTAAATAAAAAATATTGAAGTTGCCGGGTGCGAAGAGTTTGAACAGCAAAGAATGTAATATTAATCCCCACAGTGGCAAATGGACGCCTATACATATACATTAAGTGAGGCACGAATCATCAAATAATATCAAAGCCATTAAATAATGTTGAATAACAGGAATACCATGAGCGATTACGGCGCGAAGATTCCAGCACATCACGTGCAGATTCTGGGTAATTTTTAGCATAATAAACTAAATCATCTAAACCGAGCATTCCTGAGTATTGCGGATCAAAAATTTAAGTCGATAATCACATGTTAGAAATTTGCATTCATAAAGTGTATTATTATTATTACCCATGCCACGAAAATCTGTCGCAGGATCTTTGCCTTGAAACCCGATCTATTAGTTATATAGTATGATAATACTTAAAGTAAGATCTTCATTTAGTTATTTACGAACTATAAAAATATATATTACTTTAGTCCATTGTTCGCTATATCGACCTTCTAATTTCTCATTTGGAATTAATAGATCCCACAGCTAAATTAATTATATACGGAAAAAATGATAACTTTTAATGATAAATCAATAGATAAATATTTAAGAATTTTATATATATAATGTCAAAATTAATGAAATAAGATGACAAACCTCCAATAACTTTTTCTCGTGCAGTTTATTATTTGAGTCGAACTTTGTGGTTGCACGATCATTAATCTCGTTTGCAAGTTTGTAGGAATCACGAATTCGATTCAAACAGTAATGCAAAACAATTGCGGAAGGGCTTAACACAATAAAGGATCAGATAATTGTCAAATGATCTATAGGAAAAAAAAAAAAAGTGACTACATACGTTTTTGTGGAGCCGTTTTCGGGAAAATGTTTTTTATAAAGAATTGTTTGAGTGATTTCATCTAAATCACACCTTGTAGACTCTAATGCACGACGCTCCATCTAGAAATTGTGAGATAAATCAAAAAAAAAAAACTTACTATATAAAAAAAAAAATAAATAATAAGGTAAATACCACTAGTTTGCTCGAATAAAGAATGGATCTGTCTATATTATTATAGCATATGATGGAATTATATTAATATATGCATGTAAAATAAATAGCATTTATTATTCCTCGTATGTACCAACACGGAAAACAGTTTCAACGGATATTGGAGCATCTCTCAAAAGCTCTCTATTTAATAGTGGTGTGCGATCACTGTCAATGGAATCGGTGTCTTCTTCTGTGAGTTCACTTTGATACCAATCAGCAGTAAGCCCAGCCTCGTTGGCAGTGTTTGCACAAATTCGAAAAAGTTCAGTCGTATTTGTGTAGATTCCTAGAATTGCCTTCCATAATTTGTAAGTTAAAAGCAACAACCTTGATTGATATAACTGCGTGAAAAACACAAGTTTCATAAAAGAAATGACACCCATACTCGGTATTTATTGTAAGAAAAATTATTAAATTTAAATCGAGAACATAAGATCAATGCGTATATATAGTGATAATAATGGTAATACAAGTCAAATCATATCTTAAAACAGACAACAGTCAACTTCCACGCTTAATTTTTATTGCATTTTTGTTTACCATCACGACAAAACTTATGATCTCCAGATGCATTTAACGATAATCATCCTTAGTTAGAAAAACTGATTTAAGCTTACAAATCGTAAAGAATGTCTTTAAATTGATGAAAGTCTTGACATTTCTTTTGGCATGTCACTATCATGTGATCATCAATTAATGATCCAGTTTGATTACATGTTCTTGTAAGACTGCAGTTAGTGTAGCCGATAAAATCAGCTTAGTCCTAAGTCAGTTGATTCTACATTTATATATATGAGTGCGTAAGAGTGAAAATCAGGAAATAAAATTTATGATTGGTACTAAAGAAAAGCCGAGTCGACAAATTTAAACACTAGAATGTAGATCTTTTTTTAAAAATTGCACATGGAATACCACATGGAATATTGCGCTCAAATCTAGAATATTCTTCAACACTTTTTATATATAAAATATTAAAAAAAATCTGTCTTACAGAGTTGTTTAAGCTACATTCTGTTAGAACAGATTTTTATTTTTCTTATAAAATTAAAAAGGTATTAGAGTATACAGTATGTAAGCATAAAAATTCATTACATAAAAATTAGCAAATCATATGTTTTTTGCTGTCCGGTTCTAAAATTTTTCTATTACAACATATATACAGTATGTATATAAAAATAAATAAAAAGTGATAAAATAGATTTTTGGTTTATTCTTTTAGTATTACAGCCGACTCTGGATATACCGAACCTGCCTGTACCGAAATCGGGATATAGCGAACCAGATCAGGCAGAACGGAATTTTTTTATAATAATTTAGGCGGACTATACCGAACTTAAATATAAATTTTTATATACCGCATCCGAACTCTCCCATATTTAATTCGATATAACGAACTATTATATGACTTTGCGAACATACAGCCATGAACATTAGTACAGGACAAAATTTTTGGTAAAAATCTGAGATTTTCCCGAAACAACCCGGTTACGAGCATAATTTTATTGTTCGCTCTATATACCGAACCGTTCGGTAAATTATATAACGAATTTACTCTATATCGAACAAAATCTTCCAGAACATGCAGTTCGGTATATCTAGAGTCGACTGTACCAATGCTTTTATTTAATACAATTAAATTTAAAAAATTATTCATTGCTTTACTATGATCAGTCAATAAAATAAATCAATTATTTTATGGTACTTTTTACATGATAAAATTATTGATCTTTATTTCATAAACTGAGATAGTAAATCATTGCATGTCCCCATATGCATCACTACTGTATGTAATTTATGATTGGTTGGTAACCCAGTCGGTACGGCTGGGTTACATAATCGACCATAAAATGCAGTCATAGCATACTTCGCATGCAATAACTATATTTATAAAACTTTAAGTCTGCTGATCTTGAAATCTGATTGGCCGGCGAAAACATCGGAATTATTGTTAATTAAAAGGTGCTGCTTTTTATTCGATCAAGAAACATTTAGAATAACCAAAAAAAACAAAAATAGAAACGATATACAAAATTTCTTGTCGCGGCTGATGCTGAAATTTAGGGTCACCATTTAAACTATAACTATAATACCTACTTATATTTTTTTTACTAACAGGTTGAATCAATGACATACCGGGAGTAGAGTAGCGATCCGGATAACTATATCCGGATTTGACGCAGATATTATTTAAACGGATATATCCGAATCCGATAATGTCGGATTCGGATTATCCGTTATCCGTTTTACAGATATTCTTATATCCGATCATAACAATAATTTTGATATTTAAAAATTGAATTAATTTATTTGTAGCCGGGGGCTACATGTAGCCATACTATCAAATATAGTTTTTTAGAAAAAAATTTTGCAGCTATTAATAATTAGGGTTAGGTTTAGATTAGGTTAGGTTAGGGTTAGGTTAGGG